AAATTGTCGAATGATGTAAAACGAAACTCGAGTGCATACAAAGTTCGACCACATCGAGTACAAATCCTTTGTTTACAAGACTTACAAGCAAAGTGCAAACAAGTAATAGAGGGGAAACAAACTCCTAAAAAACCAAAACAAAACCCCCAATTAAGAAAGCAAAAACTAAAAAAACCAAAGAACACAAGACGAGCTACCTTACCAGGAAATCCACTTTAATATTTAATTATCCGTCCAATTTGAATATGTGTTGGTATATATTTCGTGAGTTTTAAGGTGAAAAATATATTTTTTTGATGGGATAGTGTATAAAAGCAAAAATTCTATGGTGCTCATATGGGCACCATAAGCCATGCCACAATATGACGTGACATGAGATGAGGCTTTATTAATTGAATTTACCACTTCAATCACAGAAATTAGGTGGCTTTATTTTTAAAAAAATTATTACCAAAATCAATTTATAAATTGTTTCCATCAATTATCGTTCCCTCAAATCCAGTCCAGTAGACGGCGCCGCTGGCCCTTAGCTTATTGCTGGACACAACCAGAATTTCACCGGGCCTGACGTCGTGGGTATCGAAGCCCCACCAGTCCTGGCTGCAGCCCATGGCAAGGCCCACGTCGGAACTGGACTGGACGTGCTGGGCGCCCCTCCTAGTGGACCCCGTTGCTGGAGACGACGAGCCCGATCGAGTCGGAATTTCGGTTCTGGGCCGACCGGCCACTGCCACATGCACCACCTCTCTTCCTCTTCGCCGATGAACCTTTTCACCACCGGCGAACCGATTTCGAGCTCATCCCAGGAGTTCTCAGGGTCCGAATCGAAGATTAATCTCCTTGAGAGCAATGAGTCTCGGGTTGAATTAAGAAATTTGACTCGTTTTGAATCGGGATTTGAGGAATTTCTCTCGTATGTTGATTTTGTTGGCGTTGGGGTTTGTCGAGCAGTGGATGAGGAAAGGGGAAGGAGTCCTGTTCCTGGGCTTGACGGGGGTTGAAGAAAGAGGCGAGAGGGAATGCGATGAAGAGGGGGTTGAAGAAGGTAATTAATTGATTAACCGGTAAGATTATGGAAAATAGTAAGTTAATTATTTACATACCTTTGCAGATATAAGCAAATCCCAGAATGTTGTGGTTGAAAACCGAAAACACAGTAATTTCCCTCTAATTTCTTTCAGACTTTTGAGTGTTTGATAACAGTCACTACATATTGTTTTCTTTTCTACTAACAAATTTGAGAAATGTGATTTAGGGATTGAAATGTCGTAGCTTCTGTGTTGATAGTTGGGAAAAGGGAATTTTTAACAAAAAAATAATACTAATTGCCATGTTGGAATTTATAATATAATTAACAAAGTCACTTCATATGTCACCTCATATTGTGGCATGGCTTATGGCACCCATATGGACGCCATAGAATTTCTGGTATAAAAGAAGGATTGTATATATATTGCGGCGTAAAATGAATCTTGACTATAGTTTATGCATCAAAAGTGAACATTTCCCATAAGGAAACTAATGAATGGTATACTACTACAATACCCGTGTACTATATCAGTATTTGTTAAAAAATTATTTTTAAAATTAAATAATAGTAACAACAACAATTGTTTAAAATTAAATATGTGTATTTATTAGGATAATTTGAGGTTTTCATAGAAATTAGTGAGCTGATTGAGAGCTTCCAAAACAAATCAAGTTATATTAGTCAATCAATTCCATTATCAAGTGATTCAATACAACTTAATGGTTATATTAGTCAAACTATTATGCAATTACCAAGTTAGTTTTTCAATATTTTTGGAATGTCCGAACTTAAAATTATTGACTTAAAATAATATTATTTTTTATCCAAACGAAACTACGAAGCATGTTTTTTCGCCAAGTAGGATTCTGAATCATGCGAGACTGCCACTGAACGTATTTTGCAATTATATATAGGGGGATTGAACACATGTAAACTACTTGAGAACAAAAAAAATAAGATATTCCTAATATAAAATTTTCATAAATAAAAAACGAGTTAGTAAATTAATAATTTATTGAATCTTTAGAATATTATGAAATTTTGTAAGCTTTAAATGATATATATGATACTAAACTATTATATTTCATGAGAAATAAAATAAATAAACAAATAAAATATAATATATATATATATATATATATATTTTTATGTGATAACGGTGCTTCTACGAAGGAAACGAAGGTAAAAATGGATTTAGGATGGAAAATGCAGAGAAAGCATATGCCACACAAGTCCGATTCCAAGAAGAATTTAATAACACCATGTTTTGACGTGGATACAACTCGTCGTGCTGGCATCCTATGTGGCCATTCGCCACGCGTTTTGGAAGCCGTTAAACGCATGTTCGAAGTAGGAAAAGCGTGGCGAATCGAAATATTTCGCATGCCCGCAAGCGCCAAGCACACATAAGATGATAACCAATCAACACCCTCCACGTGTACATAAAGTTAATCGAAAGGAAAACCATGACTGCCGGCTCCTTTTCCTTGATAATATAGAATTGTAGTAACTTGTAAACCAATACCGCTATATAAATTACAATTTATTCTTAATCCAACCGCAAAATAAGCTCCCCGCCGCGTGAGGCTGAAAGATTACACAATTTTCAGCGTTTGTCTGTATTTTGAGAGTTTGCTTGCAAGGAAATATTTAGCGAGACAGGGAAGATGGATGCAAGCGGTGTCGTTTTGAGGCAACCGCTTCGTTTCTCATCGGAAAAATCGACTTCCTTTTTCGCGGCGCCAAGGATTCGCGCGAGCGGGATCTTATCATCCGGATTTTGTGATCAAAGCCACGTAAAGTATTATAGTTTTAATTCCGCACCTCCATCTTGTGCTGGGGTGAAATTGCGTGCAATCGGGAGAAAGAATCACGAGATAATAATTACAGAAGATAAGGCGGCCAAGAAGATGAAGAAAAAGCAGTTGAAACTGCTTAAGGGGCTTTCCAGAGATTTATCCACTCTCACTCAGATAGGTTTCGGATTGGATTCAGATGGCGCTTTGATTGATCAAGTCAAAGGAAATATAATCTCGGTATGAACTCTTTATTCTTAACTCCACTCTCTTCGTATTTCTGTGATTTTGGTTAAGTGAATAATTTGTGAGCTAAAAAAGATTAGAACCCAACCATATAGAATTGTGCCTCTGATGTTGTCTTATTTGGGTTTTTCCATCTGTATTTGTTTTAATGACCCTTTATTGCTACTGACCGCAGGAAGCATCCCAGCTTTTACTACAACAGTTTGAGAAGCTAAAAGCAGAACAAAAAGAGCTGAAGAGGAAAAAGAAAGAAGAAAAGGCAAGATTGAAAGGCCTCCGCATTAGCCATGAAATGTATTCTTCTTCCTCCTCATCTGAATCTGAGTGCAACAGTGACCGTGGAGAAATAATGGACATGAGAAGCAGCCTCAGCCATTCAGAGTCCGTACAAAATGCAGTACAAGACCCAATTCCTGTTTTGCAGGCCATGGCCACATCATCATCAGAATCGAAAACCTTGGACCAAAGTAATGAAGGCCAAAAACACCTAATCAAGGTGTGTATGGGTGGAAAATGTAAGAAATCAGGGGCAGGGGCATTATTGGAAGAGTTTCAGAGAGTTGTTGGTGTGCAAGGTGAAGTCTTCGGGTGCAAGTGTATGGGAAAGTGTCGAGATGGGCCTAACGTGAAGGTTATTTCGAGTGGAGTTTTTGTGGATAAGTTGGCCAAGGAGGATTCATTGTGCAAAGGTGTTTGTTTAGACGATGTTAATGTCATTGTTGGGAAATTGCTCCCTGAAAATTGTGGTGATCAACATGGACTTGGTATTGTCGGTGCGTGTTAGCTGCTGTGGTTGATTGTTTTCTTGAAATGGAACGAGTAAAACTGTGTATACAACTTAACTTTCATGAATGTCAAATTGTGTGTATCTTCTCTAAAACTATACTGCTTATAATGTTTCCATAGAATGATAGAAAATAATACATGGAGAAAATACAAATTTAAAATGGAAAATAAAACACTTAATTTTTCTTATTTTTAATGTTTTTCAACAGTGATATCTTTTTGGGAGTTGATTTTTTCTTCAAATACATCTTCTTCCTCATGATGCTAATGGTGATATCATCATCATCACTTGAAAAACAATGTCATCATCTTCTTTGATAGAACTCTTTCTCAATCTTTTTCCTTTATTTGCATCAATTTTGGAAGTCGAATCAGAATTTGAGAAAGTAGCAACGTGGATGGGATTTCCACTGTTAATTTGTGAGTTTGTGAGTGACGAGTCTTCTTTTTTTCTCGTCTTGTTGAGCTCTTTCAATTGCATCAGCTACTAAGTTGAGACTTCCTTCCATTTTGTTATTTTTTACCGTAGTTAAGAAGCGGAATAGAGTTGGTGATTGCAAACTCAGTCCTCTATAGTAAGTTGACTCATTTTCTCCCTAAATATGCATAATAAATAAATAAATTGTAAGTGCTATATATTTATTATATTATTATTGTAATTATAAAAACATTATTGTGAACAAATGAATGATAATTTACCCCATTGATTAATTGAATGTATTGATAAACTTCACAACCAACATAAACGCTTGCAGCATCTCCAAACAACGTTACAAACGTGCTTCCATTGTCACTCACGACTTGTAGAAAAAACAAAAATCATAAGAAATAACTTCCTCTTGTTTCTCCTTGTAAGACACAATCCTTTATTCCTTGATATAGTTCTGATCTCATTTTCGTTTGGTTTTGTCGATAGTAGTCTAACCTTGTTGTCTCCAATTTTATGTACATGTCAACTGCATACTGTTGTAATAATCTCCCCGCAAATAGCAATATAGAATGCCTTCGAGAGCGAATTTGCAACCTGTAACAACTGTATTCCCTACAAGATACCTTTTTATCGTCTTCTTTGCAAACAACTGAAATTAAGGAATATAATTTTATAAGGTATAAATTAAATAAATAAATTATACTGAATAACTTCATTTGTAACATGTGAGTTTATATACCTTGTTGCTCTTTAGAAATAATGTCATGTGTTGAACAAACATTTGGCCCACCATATTGATCGGTAACCTGTGCTGTTGGATATATGCCTGAAATAGAAAATTTTGGAAACTCTATTACAACAAATGGGAATTAGTAAAACACTCATTCATATTATATTTTAAAAACTTTTAAAATTATGCATATAATGGGGCGAAATAATTAAAGTAGCATTGTTATATAAGCAAATTGATTGACTTTGAGAAAAAACGTACCTGTTTGAAGTTGACAATTATCTGGAAGTATTTTTCTGATATTTTTATGCCACCCTGAATCACCCATTGGAAAAAGAAGAGATCATAACATTCAAAGTAGTGTTTTATTCTGTGTCTATATCCTGAATGCGCATGGACGATAATGTCACGCTCAAATGGTACGTCATTGTTATTTCCTTCTAGCCATGTCGCAGCTACTTGATCCGTTGTTGGAGAATTATAAACACGTTAGATCTAGTTTCACGTCTTTTGCAGTATGAAAGTGGATATCATCAATCGAAGGGATATCTTTCAATCTTCTGAAGATCCTCGCATAAGGATTGATCTCTAAAATATCCATGACTTTCTTCACCATAGATTCGCTTAATGATGAATCTTCGAAAATCCTCATTTTGTTTTCCACCTCATTTTCCGTCTCCACAAAATATAACTGAAAATAACCAAGACCCCTTTCATTTGGTATAAGCTCTGGAAGATCATGGTAAACCATTCCTTGTGCACGGAAGGTATAAACTCCTCGTCTTGCAGAAGCTAGATCTTTATCTAACTTTACACCAAATGATGTGAAAGAGAAAATGCTATGTAGTTGGCGAATAGATTTACGAAATGCATTCGACTCTTCAGAATCTGAAGTGAACAATTCATAAAGTTCGTCCGAGACATCAATGGGTGCAATTTTAACTTTTCCCTTGTCACAACAAAAAAAGTCAGAGGCTCGTACTGAAATCTAGCAGCATCACAATAACTGTACTCTCGAACTTTCTTCCATTCATGTGTTTGTGGGCTACTATTTAGACTCGTATCAATTGAACCTAGGATAGTGTAAAAAAACGGAATTCTAGAAAAATTATTCAATAATATAACTGCACAAAATATATTAAATATTGTTCAGTAGCTTCGGACTCATTCATTGTTATTTGAGCTCTCAAAAACCACTTATCTTGTGGATTCCTTAGCTTGTTCCTGCTTCTAACTTTATCCATATAGTCCTTCTTCTTCGCAGAATCAAAGTCAGCATATTTTCTTTTCATCTTTTCAAGATTTCTTTGTCGATAAACATCTTTGGCTATAATATGAAAATAAGAAGAGTATGGTATATGTTTATCACACACTTATTTATAATAAACAAATAGACATATGCTCCATATTATATTGTTTGGAATTTAAAGAAAAAAATTTTATTAAATATGATTTACCTGAAGAAGTACTTGGCATAGATGAACGTCCATACATTTCAATTTATTCAGTGGATCTTGCAACGAAAAAACAATTTTGTAACTACATCTCTGGTTGATACAAATGCTGCAAGACAAAGCTTTGTTTATGCGCAAATACATTTAATATTTACAAATATTAATTACAAAATATAAGAAACAGAGCTTTTGAAACTAACAAAAAACAATTCTAAAAAATAAAAAGCAGTGAATTTAATAAAATAAAAAATCCAATAAACATATGGAATTTAATTTCAAAAGTGAAAAATTGGTGAGTTCAACAGACTTCTGCTTCAAGAATCACAACAATGGCTAACTCAGACACATATAGAGAGATTTAACCCCATTTTTGGGTTGAATGCGCAAAACAAAGAAGAAGAAAAAGATAGAATCTCTCCTTCGTCTCCTCTTAATGATTTACTTGAGTTTTCATGCTCTTATCATTTTCCTCTTCCATAAGCAGAAAAATTTTAAACTTCCCCTACGTTGTTTTCCCAGAAACTTAAATTTAAAACTAAATCAAAGCCAAGTTTTTCTACAAATAATGTTTTAGAACTTACTATCTAATCAAAACCAAGTTTTTCATTCTATGCTTTTGTGCGTTTTATTTAGGCGTAATATGAAAAGAACCGTGCTGATTTCATGGTCGTGTAATATGAAAAGAGCCGTGCCGATTTCATGGTCGACGGACAGAGTTCGCGTAAAGGATATGATCAGATAGATATAAAATTAATAAGAATAAAAATAAAATTAAAAATTACGAGGAACATAAAAGGGAAGAGTTTAAGAGAAATTGGAAATGATAGTGTGATGAATTCTATCAGCTTTTCAAAATGATATATTCCCTGTCTTGCAAAATTCTACCAACATTCAACCGTTAGTCTTCCACTTGTATTAATTTTTGAAAATGATAGTTCCCCACATTTAATTAAAAAGTTAATTCACAATGACGTTGGAAAAATGATTTATTTTGTTGGCTTTGCACTATAAGAATTGTGCATATTTGTATATGTATTTGTCCCATTTTTGTTGCGTTTTTCGTTATTGTTTTGTCTTTCTTTGTCCCCCGTTTTAGGTCTTTTAGTTGATTTTTGGTCGTTTTTGTAGTTTATTTTATATTTTACTCTATTTTGGTCTTCTATGTGTTTTTGTGTGTTTTTTCTGGTTTTTTCTTCTTGTTTTTGGTGTGCAGGCTGGAAGCCCCGTTAGGAAGAGATTTTGCCCGAAAATTGAACAGGCAATCATGGTTGCATAGACGGGTTTGTTGGCGATATATAAGAAGAAGCGGAGCTCAATTTCGAGCTTGGACGAGTCCAAACGGACCCAAAACGTGAAGTCGCACGAAGCACGTCTTTGGTGTGTCTTTGGTGTGCTGGTCATAAGCTTTCAGAGAATTGGACTTCAAGAATAATTTGTCCATTCAAGCATCATTGAATAGAGGGGTTCGTTAGAGACGCGTGGGAAAAAACGGAATTCAATTCCGAGTTCGGACAAGCCCAAACGGACCCGAGAAGCAAAGTCCAGCAGGCTGCCAAAGCCTTAGCGCCGCTAAGGCACCTTAGCGGCACTAAGGCACACAGGATAGCGGCGCTACACGGTACTGGTTCGAACGGCTAAGGCACCTTAGCGGCGCTAACCCCTCTTAACGGCGCTAAGGCCCCCTGCAAGTCCCAGAATGGTATAAGAACCCCAAAAACTCGTTTTCTTCTCCATTATTTCACCATCAGCTCGAAGGGGGAGGAACCCTAGGTCCGAAAATCGCCTCCCCCCTTCATTTTTCTCCTTCTTCTTCCTCTTCTCCTTCCTCCTCCTCTTCTTCTTCTTCTTCTTCTTCTTCTTCTTCTTCTTCTTCTTCTTCTTCTTCGTTTTTCCTCTTCCCTTCATCTTTCTTTTTCATTTTTCTTCTTCTTTTTATTAATATTCAAGGATTAAGCTTGTAATTCAAATTCAACACTTGGAATTGCGATTTATTGTAAGTTCTTCTCTTTATTTTTAATTCATGAATAATGGTTGAATTGAGAGAGATGATGGATTTGTTGAATTGATATTACTTAGCTAATTCTTATTGCTAGGGATAGGGGATGATTGTTCTCGTTTAACGTGTATTTGTCGGGCTTGAATTGTTCGTTCTTGTGTGGTTGATTTGATTACGAATTGATGAAATCTTGTTTGATTGATTGATATAATCGTAGAGTGACACTTCGATCTTCCAATTGGAAACAATTGAATGTTGATTAGCCGAGTTAGGGTTTTGTTGATTCTATATGATTAGTTGATTAACTCTCTTCTAATTTAATTAGCGACTGTTAGAACCGAAAGGGGAGAAGTCGTAGACTTAGGCTCGCATGAGGTAGATGATTTCGTAATTGAATAGTCTATAGGTTTTGGATTGAAATACGTGCTTGTCGATGACTCGTCCCTTGTTACGAATAGTTATTGGGATTGGGATTGGGATAATTGGCCTGTGTCGTATGCTCAAGTTTGTTCATCTATGTTCAATCCCTTGTTACGAACCAATAATAGAGTTATTGGGAGCGAACCGCTAGATGCTTAAGCGAGAGCGTCAATCTAGAATAGAATGATTCATGTCCCGGTGTGCAAATAGAACTTGAATTAATTATCCCCGACTCCCTAGCTTCTTTATCGTTGTTTCGTTTATTTTTTTAGGTAGATTATTGTTTATTTTATTTCTTAGATAATAATTATTCAACCCCCCTTATTTGATTAGAGTGTTTAGGATTTTATTTTCTTTTTGTGTGAAATCAATACCGAAGCTAAATTCCGAACCGCCTTCCTTGTGAGATAGACCCGGGGAACGAATCCTTCGATGCGATACTCGGTAAAAATAACAATTTGTTACAACAATATGCAAAATCGTATTTATGAAGTTTAAAAAATATTTTAAAACATTTGTGTAGATAAAACATTATTTATATTTATATACATAAAAAGCAAGGAAATAGATAAAACATGCAAAATCTTAGTTATGTAATTGTGATGACACAACATTAATAAACAATTCAAATATAGAAATCTTATTTATTCAGTTATGTAATTGTGCCAATACATTCATTTCAATAATTGGATACAATCAATCTATTTTTTTAATAGATTAATATTA